TTTTAGCAAATCTAATACAGCATTATCATTCAAAAGAGAATCGTTATTTTTGGATAATGCTATAACGAATACCACATTCTCAAATCTAACCATTCTGGTAAAATCAAGACTAGCAGACGTATTCAAAGTAAAAATTGTTTCGACGGAATTCCTTTCCACTTTTCCTCTTTCATTAATCGGAGTATAGAGATAATCAGCATTCTTCACAATACGTAATTTGAAGAATCCAGTTGCCAGGACAACTGTTGTCAACACGAAAGCATAAACGTAGAACTGAGGATAACAACCGATATGATATCCAATTCGAGAAAAACAATGAGAAAAGTTGCTTTTGATATTCTTCATTGTTATTCTATAAAAAGAATATTAAATATTAATACTGATTTTTAACAACATGTTAAAATTTATATAAGTTATTTAATAACTTTATAAATATTCACTATTTATGATGTTCCAAACCTGCATATTATATACGGCATGTTATACCTTAAGTTAGTATATAACATACCCTAATGTATGGTTGACTGAATATTCGATTAATAAACAGCATATAAAACTAGCAGATAAACTTGGGCAAAAAATTATAACTATAAAATCTAAAATTATTAGATTTCCTACTTCTAACGCTTCTATTCTACAGTATTATATTATATTATATTACTTGATTTACGTAACTACAAATGTTATCTTACGTAAGGGTTTATCTATAACATTTTAAAATGCTTATTACCTTTGTAGTTATACAGTATACATCAAATTCTATAATGTATAGAACTTTTTAACGTGATAAAGATGCTGTATATTATATATATATGAAATCACTTTAATCGAAAAACTTTTTGGTTGACAGTCTCACAGCACTTCCGGTTGAAAAGTTAAGACTTTACGCTCCGTGTTCTATCATGTTTCTGATCGTCTTGTGTTTTTATCTCCATTCGGCTTCGGCCGCCGCTTTTTATTTGACACCTCGCGCCAGCACGCAACGTCCCAAGCGATCACGCAACATTTGGTTGACACGCGACGCCAGTGTCAACCAAAAAGTCCAACTTCAATCGTCAACGCTTGATATTTAAAAATGTTTAAAAAGTCTCGGCGGGCCGTGTGTTTGACAGGCCTGCTTTAAGGCAAAGCAACAGTTAGTCGATCTCTCCTACCTGACGATACCTGTATACATATACAGGTATTTGTAAAGCTGATATTTAAAATCCAATTAGAGCTCAGGAAAAGTTTAGTCTATATAGCCTATAACACGTAATCGTTTTATATTTAATTATCCTATATATTAATTAAATTAATTACAAAAATTCCTGAATCAATTCTAATCTAATTAATCTGTGTAAAATCTAATGAATTTGCATAAATTAGATTATCAGATGGTTATTAGATTGTAAATATAAAATCTTACCTCGAAATATTTTATATAGGCCTACAAGCCTACTGTTATATTACTTGCTGATACGAAGGTCAATACTAAAAAATGACGAGTTTCGATTTAAAGAACCTGTTTAAATTTTCAGAAATTGTTTCCTCGAAATCATAATTCTCAGAATTTTTTTTTAAATATTATGAGATAAAATTGTAGTTATATAAATTAAAATTGCGTACGTTATCCTCCTCGCATAAAGCTCCCTTTGATTTTAGTCAAATTCATTACGTAAACTACATTATATAATTATATTAGGATATTATATCAATTTAGGAAAATTAGTAATAATGTACACTATACGTACAGTATATACTGATACAGCTATATTGATATATATCGCCTTGTAATTGCGTGTTTAACGACGAATTTGACGTTTGTACGACGGTTACTCTTTCGAAACTGCTCAAACGATTTGAATCCCTTTTCGAATACGAATAGAATCTATCTTGATCTAGGTAATGACGCCAACGGTCTTTTAAAATTCGACCCGTGGTAGACCATATACAAGGTTAAACTTTACAATGTTAAGTCTGTGGGAAAAGTTGGCGCCAGAGCGCAGCTCGTTTGATTTTAATGGAACATTTCGATAACAATACGTTGATTTGACTACTCTAAAGTTTTTATTTTTCTTTTTTTTTTATTCGAAATAAACAAATCATCTAAAACTATGCTGATTTATATTTCTTAATATATCTAATCATTTCTAGGATTATAATTCAGGCTAAATTCTTTCGGAAAATAGATTAAATTTGAATTAGTAGATTAACATAAGGTACTGTACCTCTTGACTTCCTGTAGTAAAGTTTGGCTGCCAAACAATACGTGTGCGCCAACTCAGGAGAAAGAAATACGAGAGAAAATAGTGGATTTCTAAGGCGTAATGCGCTATACCTCTTCTACGTAAATTGCATCGCCAGAATTCACACTGGCGATGCAATTTACGTGGCGATGCAATTTTCTCTTTCGCCCAATTTTTTCCACTTTTCGCGTCTGCATAAACACATGCTAAGAAAGCTGGATGCCGAGGCGATTAAGGTATCCGTCTACTGCTCCAGATGATACGGGATCGAATTAGAACTTTGCAACTTTATTTTGAATGTTACATTACTTCCGAATTTTGAACTGCAATAATAATTCAAATATTTCATCATAAATTCACATTTTAACAAAATTAGAGATAATATTTTATCTAAAGTATGGTATACATTTTAACTGTAAAAATACGTGGAAGTAGCGTCAAACTAGATGTACTGTACATTTAAAACGAAAGTTGATTACATTCAAAAATATTGCAAAGAAATTTGAGTAAATCGTATGAATTTTACAAGTGCAATAAAATTTTTTCATGTTGATAATTTTCTGATTTATTTATTTTCGTAAAGACAATGGAGTAATTCAATGTCATAATGATTAAGAGGTAAAATTCTCTTTAAATAACTTTTATTGTTAACTTTAACATTAGTTTTCCTTGTTATTTGAAAAAAAAATATTTTCAATAGTTTTTGCCTCCACACACTTCACGGATGCCACGATTAATAAGCAAACGTTATATTGGGTTGAACAGAAAGGTATTGCATATTTTTAACAGTTGTCGTTACTTAACATAAATAAGATGAAGGATAGGATCACCATAAAACATCATTAAACTCAATGTCATCGGACTTAGTTATGTTCTCAAAGTTTCAGTTTTTTTCTTAATGTAATAATTAAAATTTCCTCACTTATTGATAAGTTAAGAAATATGGAAAATTTTCTTCTGTTTATCAATAATATTAAATGAAATTTCGAACATTTAACAATTAACAACACTTACGAAGTTTTGGCCTTCAAATTGTCCTACAATATAAGCAATTATTTCCGTTAAATGTTTGTTGAAAATTATAGATTTTTGCAGGTATATAAAGTTATATAATATATATACGTCTATATATATTTTCATCTGTTATAAATAAATCTGCATTCTTGTTATTTTAAATATTAAGTTAGATACAGTTTTAGTATGTTATATATTATATTAATCAAGTATGAACTTGTAATTAATTTACTAAAAATATTTAATTAATTCATTTTAAAAATCATTTTAGAAAGTTTAATTGAAGTAAGGAAGTAATTTACTCTGTATTATTTGTATTTCCTCTGAGATAACTATAAAAAATATTTTTTTTTATACTTCTCTTAGAGGAAGTATTAAAAGTAATAATAGTAATTATTATTATTTTTGTTATAAATATATATGCAAACATTTTTATAAAAAATTAGTACTATTTGAATTTTCCTTCATCAATTAAAATAAGGAGAAAAAATAATAATGCTCAAAAATAAAATAGTGCTATTGAAATGGAAAGACACGAAGAAGGTATTCGTGGCGAGCACGATACATGATGACACCACGATTACAGTGAAATCTGGTGCATCTATAAAACAGAAATCTAAGGTTTGCGTCGATTACAAGCATCATATGGCAGGCGTATACCTTATGAATCATAAA